ACACATTTTTCGTATGTGTGACAAATTTGAGTGCGTATTCAGATAACTATTCTTGCACAATGTACTGAAACACAGAAGGGCTATAGATGTAATTCATTTTATTTCCTTTTTTTGTTCAAAGTAACAGAAAGACTTTGACTTGTTATTTCTGGTTGGTGGTATTGCTGAAGTTTTTCTGCAGTTTCCTCTGAGTCAGGTAGAATATTTTTTTGCCTTTTGAGACTCCAACCACATGCTGTCAGATAGCGTATTTTGTGCTGAAATAAGGCACAATTTGAATTGGAACAGGGAAGAACATTAATCTATATTGCTTTCTTGATTGAAAATTGCTAAGATTAATTAATATTAGAAGTTATTTGCACTGTCTGAGCCTGAAATGTAAATGATAAAAAATAAAAATATTTCAGTATGACAAAGTATTTTGATGCACACCCAAACATACATAAACGAATGTTTCTGCCTCTTTTAGGGGGCATTTGGTGGTTGGAGAGTTATTTTGAATGTTGACCCAGCGAAGGAATCAGGCTTCAAGCGTCTTTTGGAATCAGGAGGTGCAAAGGTGTGTATATTTGTTTAGATATCAGTATATTTGATAATCATAGGTGAGGGAAATGTTGCTATTTTAATAAAAAAAGAATGTTTTCAGATTATGTATTAAACCCAGTGGTGGACTGCTGCTGGTTCAGACCGGCTCATCCATACCAGTAGTTCCAACCACCAGCTGCGCCCTCTTCCCTGCCCCGGTACTATCCCATCCTATATATCTGGCTCGCTCGCCCTGCCCACTCAGCCAAGCTGATTTCCATGCCTCACCTGCTGTACTCACTGCGGCTGCTACATGCAGGAAATCCCCATGTTTTTGCAGCCATGCGCAAGTGTGAAGTGGGGGCATGTGTGCGCACTCATTTTCGGTTCTGCAGTAAGCGAACTAGTTGTTACATTATGTGCAGCCCACCTCTGATTAAACCTCAATAATTCTTTATAATTGAAAGAATTCCATTTGAAGGAATTATTTCAGTTATGAAAAAGGGCATGTGGGGGTAACACAAGAAGTGCTACGTGGGTTTAGAGGGCTGTATGGATGTGCACCAGAAATGCAGTATGGATCAAGGTGGGTGGCTGGCATAGGTTGCGAAGGATGCCTGGGAGTGCCCAAAGTGCTGTATAAATAGGGGAAGGTTCTCAGGTTGGTGTAGGTCAAGTAGAATATATGGGGCCATGGATGTATATGAGGTGTCACCGTGAGGTCAGGTCGGACATGTGGGGAGGTAGTGTGAATCAAGAAGAATGCTTGGATGGTCTCAGGGTTATTTGAGAGGTTCCATGCTGATCAACAAACATACTTGGATGGCATGGGTTGGGAAGGGTGCTTGGGAGTGTACTTATGCAGGTCAGAGCCAACTTACCAAGGGTGCAGGTCAGAAATCCCAGGTCCTGGATTTTGGACACATTTTGTAAATTAGACTATTCAACTCAAATTACCTTGATTCAAAAATTGTTGCCCTATGGTGCACTTGTCTGGTTAAAGGTCATGATAAGAATTTTATTAGTATATAGATATTTAGACCTACGTTACTCATTCTGATCTACACAGGGGAAAAAAGTGGGAAAGCACACTATTTACCTCTAAAAAAATTTAGAGTAAGTTTTTGCAAAATGCAGATGCAATCCATGAGAGTCTTACCCACATGAGCAGACATTGATCATCTATCATTACCATCATATTATATTTCAGCAAAATACTGTATACATTTTTTTAAAAAAACTGACAAGCTATTTTCCTGAAGGCTACATGTTAGATGGTCTTGTTCAGTTCCTAAAATTGATAAAACTAATTCCATACTGCATAAGTAAACCAGAATCTCTATCTGATTGAATCTACAGGTGTTACCTGCATATTCTCCACCTATCTTTAGAGAAGTTACTCATTTTTTTGCTGATCTTAATAAACTAAAGCCAGAAGATGTGAGAATTAATATAAGAGAGGCTGCAGCTCAAGGAGTGAATTGCCTGAAGCCAGAATACATTGCTGACTATCTGATACAGGTTTGCATATTAGTGTCATAATACAATTTTGAATTATCAAGGCTATGTTTTATTAGATAAATAAATAGTCCTCAACTTACTTGTTCATTTAACAATGGCTCAACTTCAGCAAAGTGACTTACAAGTCACCCTTACAATTATAAGCACATCAGCCCTGCGGTCATGTGATTAAAATTTGAGCATTTGGCAACCATCTTGCATTTATAACAGTTGCAGTGTCTTGAAGTCACATGATTGTGATTTGAAACTTTCCCAGTCAGCTTCTGATAAGTAATAGCAATAGCACTTAGACTTATATGCTTCACAGTGCTTTGCTTTAAGCCGTTTACAGAGTCAGCATATTGCCCCCAACAATTTGGGTCCTCATTTTATCATCCTCAGAAGGATGAAAGGCTGAGTCAACCTTGAGCCTGTTGAGATTCCAACTGGCAAACTGCAGGCAACAAGCAGTCAGCAGAAGTAGCCTGCAGTATTGCATTCTAATCACTGTGCCACTGTGGCTGTTAAGCAATGCAATTGGGGCAGCCAGATTATTTAATCACCATTTGATGCATTTCATGATCGCATTTAAAACTCTCACAAAATAGATCCAATCATGATGACTTGTTTAACAACTGCATTGCTTACCAACTGTAATTCTGGTCTCAGTTGTCTTAAATTAAGGACTTATCTGTATATCCAGTGAGGTATTATTATTTGAATTCAGGCAGACCAGTTTGAAGGCTCCCTAGATGACTTTGAGTTCTCTCCTCTCCTCTCCCATCTCCTCCTCTATCCCATTCCACTCTCACCCTTTCTGCCCAACCTACCCAACAGTAGAAGAAATTAAGAGTTCTGTATATGTTATGTTGCCTTAAGCTCTTTGAGCAAAAGCACGGAATAAACATAAGGAACAATTCAACATATTTCAAACCTATAGCAGTGGAATGCTTTGTGCACAATTAAAATGATAGAAAGTATCTTACATTCACTTTATGTCTCAGGAATAGAGATTATGAAAAATTACTCCTATTTGGTTTCAACATGAACTTTTCAGACAGCAATATAATAATGCTTTCAAGTAGTAATTTGTTTCTCCATTGTTTTTCTAACAAGGAATATATGGTAGCAGGAAGATTGGCCTAAAAAGAAAATGTCAGATAAAAAACATGAAAATATAATTCTTAAAGCTGTTTCAAAAACTGCTGTCATTTTTTTTTTTAAGGAACCATCACCTTCAATGGAAAACTATCATTTACCAGAAGCTGCTGCTTATCTTCAGAATAGTAAAACACTTGGAATTGGGTTGTCTCAAAAACGTAAAGCTGCTGAAGAAAAGCATACAGCAAAGAGGTCCAGAATTCACTGAGGCAACCAATCTGAAAATATAATTTTTAAATTTCTGTTTTCCTTCCAAGATAAAATATATTAATTTTTGTTGTGTGCTTTGGATTTCAAGAAATAACTGCAACTTTTGTTATAGGCTTGGAGGAATACGTATGTAGATTCATATTGTACTTGAAATGGTACTTGAAGTGAACTTTGAGTAAATGCATTAAAAAAACTATTAAGATAGAACACACAAGGCCATCTAACATAACTTTTGCATGTGTCTGCCTCTTATTGGTTTCCACAAAACAATTATATATTATATAATATGTAACATTTATATAGGTTGGTATATCAGCTTATATAAGGAAAGGACATAGCCCCACTGAAGTTTTTCCTGCTTTTATAGTTCATCCCTCCTTTTCTAAAAACATGCGCTTTAGCAGCTTGAGAATTTTCTTTTCAATGGAGAGAACAGGTAAGCATCTTTAAAGATAGAACATTACCTTCCAGATCAAGGGTAATCTGGTTTTTAAAGTTAAAAACCAGAAATTTTAAAAAAAATTCAGAATTGCCTAACCAAAATTTCAGACTTTTTATTTTATTTGTTCCTAAATAACTTGCTTATTAACTGGGATGTAATTTATATAAAGTTCAAATTCTGTGACATGTTTAAAGTAATCTCTCAGTACTTTCATTTATTAAATCAATGTTTTAATAACAGTATCAAGGAATCTATGCAACTAGTATCAGCCACATCTGAGACAGTTTATTTAAATTGGTCTCCTATTTATTTATATCAATAGCAGTAATGCAGGAGTGTCAAACTCAATTTTATTGAGGGCTGCATCAGGACCGTGATTGACCTCAGAGAGGATGGGTGTGTGTGACCAGCTTGACATCATTTCCCAAACTGCTTGGCATGTTTCCTCTTTGAATTGGATAGACAGGCTGAAGCGATGCTGGCCCGATGTTTCCTCTTTGCATTGGGTAGACTGGGCCGAAGCAACATAGGCCAGCCCCTTACATTTTCCAAGGCAGCCCTGTAGGCTGAATGCAGCCCACAGGCTTTGAGTTTGACACCTCTGCAGTAGTGAGAATAGGAAGATTTCAAGTAACAACTGCTTTGTAGAAACGAAGAGATCATTCACTGTCTCCTTTCAAAATTCTATTGGGTTTTCACTTTTCAAAAAGGATTTCAAAGAAGTGCAAATGAGAGGAAAAACATACTTTCAGTATTTGGAGACTTGGAAATTAGATGTAGATTATATTCTTTAGTAGTAAAACTAAAACTGAATCTGATGTTTGCTGGTTTTGTTTTTAAAACTACCTGGTGTCTACAGTAAATAAGAAACAAACAGATCTGATGTAATATTGAACAGTTGCTAATTGATAAAAGGACCTTTTCTCAGGCAATATAACCAATGAAGATAACACTACTTTTGTTTTGAAAAAGCATATAACAGAAGATTTCTACAAAAACAATAACAAACTGTGAATGTAAGTTTATTTCAGAGATTACAAAAACGATAATTCATCTCATCCATGCAAATCCCAAGAACTTTATTAATACAATTATATCTGCACAGAACCAAAAAAGGGATGTATAAATTTTGAAAACTCAACCATCCTTTTTAGAAAGCCCGTTATTACATGATCATTAATATATGTGTAAAGAACTTTACTATAGTAGTGGTAAAATACTGTAAATAAAACCAAGTTAAATATTTTCTTTTTGTGACAGATTTCAGCAAATTTAATTACACCTTGTACTCTTATAGCACCTTCACTGGAAAACTCAAAAACATTTTATAAAGCTGAAGTCATCTCTGTTAAGTAGGGAAGTATTGTCTTTGCATCTTGGAAAACAAGCATAATCCAATTGCCTCTAATTTCCCATGCTGTATTTGATAGACGCTTCCTCCTTTGCAATGGTTTCAAACTTGGTCATATTCTTGGATTTGCCACTTGACAAATTTTCTACATTTTTGTGAAAATAAGTAATTTCAGTGAAATCCATTATAATTTTGGTAGAACAAATGTTAGAAATATTTATTTTTGCATTTTAATCACAGCCTGTTATCTGAAGTACCTCAGCATACTTATGGCCAGATAACCTAGTTTTACCCTTTTTCATTTTGCTCCTAAAAAGAAAAGGCATTCTAGGCATTCCAAGAGAATAAACGTGACAAGTCTATCTCACAACAAATTGAATAGGTCTTCAATCTTTATGGTGTTATTCATATTCCAAAGTATATCAAAGATAGACTCATGGCAATATTCTCAATGATGCTTCATCTATTTGTAGAGGGCTAGCACAACAATATTCAAAATGCACTGCACTACCTAGTATCTGAAGTGGTACAATCCAGAATTCTACAATTTTTGTGCAGAGCAGTTTTATAGACAAGTTGTATTTTTTCATAGTAAACAACTATTCCAAAGCAGATTATCTTTTGCTCCACAGAACCGTCTCACCATCTTTTTATTCCTACCTCGTTGGATGTTAGAAATTATTAAGTATTTTAACTTCTCTAGTATGGGCAAATGAACTCATATATGGGAATATTAACATATGGGAATATTTATGGTTAATTTCCAGAATGTAATAGTTTTTAAACATGAATGGGGAAATCCCCTGGACAATTGACATTATTGTCTTAAGCATTTGCATTCCCCTCCTGGAGCCAAGTGATCATCTTGATTTATTAAATAATGAAATTAATGGGGTATGAAATAACTCGTAGAATGGGTCAGATCATATACCGTATTTTTCAGTGTATAAGATGCACTCCCTCCCTCCCAAAAATGGGTGGAAATGTCTGTGCTTTTTATACAGTGAATGTTGCCGAAGCCCTGCCCACCCACTGCCCCCCACCTTTAGCCTCTGCCTCCCAGCAGTTTGCCTCCTTGCAAACAGCCTAGTCAGCTTCAGCACAGCCTAATTAGAACAAGCAGCTGGTTGTCGGTTGATCTCCCTCCCGATGATCAGCTATTCCAGGCCGCAGGGATCGCCTATTGCCATCTCCATGCACCCCATTTTCAGCTTCAGCATCCCATTTTTGGCCTCCATGTACCCCATTTTTGATCTGTTCCAATCCCCACCACCTGCAACAGCAGAAAGTAGGGCATGCAGAGGTGGCAATAGGCGATAGGGATCCCTGCAGCTTGAAACAGCTGATCGTTGGGAGGCTGTTTCAACAGACAACTTGTGCTAAATCAGGCTGTGCTGAAGCTGACCACACTGTTTGCTGCAAGGAGGCAAATTGCTGGAAGGCAGAGGCAGATTTTTTTTCTTGTTTTCCTCTGCAAAAGCTAGGTGCGTCTTATACTTTGGAATGTCTTATAGTCCAAAAAATATGGTATATAGTGAAACCCATCTGAATTCTTAACTTTGCAATAGTACAGGCAAGCAGGTTGTTTTTGTCTATTCCCCAGAAACTGATATTGTTTTTCCACATTAAGCAGCTAGTACCCACCATGATACATAGGATGGGGGGAGTTCTTTATAATGAATTCTGTCCCAGCTTGGACTGTAGAACTTGGGCAGATTCTAGGGATAACTTTGACAATATTTTGGATTCCTTTCAGATTGTATATATTAAGAAAGTAGAGAGGAGGTGCAGAATGATAATAGCTATTACCTGGTTATGCAATTTTCTGTTTTCTGGGCTGATTTAAATAGCCATGATAAACCATACTAGCAGAAATTATCATCTCCCTGTATTTTTCTATTCCAGAGAAGTCAGTTAAGGTTGATAGCATTTGAATGATTTTGTGAATCCATTTTAATTGAGCTTTTGATCAAGATAAGATAATGAAACAACCTTCTGGACTGCTTTAGGATTGAGGTTTGGTATTGTTTCACAATGTTTCCAGTTTTCTTGACAAATAATATCCAGGTGGCAGTATGATTTGTGTTCCTATTATCTTGTCTTGAATGTAACTTTATACCATTATTCGACATGAATTTGATAGGGGAATGTTTTCTACAATTCTGATATCAGTTGTCAATACTAGACTGATATTATTCAGTTCTATACTCCTTGTACACTGATTCTAAGCATCTGGTAAATTTGAACGTTACCCAAATTTGATAATAGGTAAATGTTACTGTTGGTTAAAAAGATGACCTGGATTCTGAGACTGAAATATATGCTGTTTTTAATAAGATTGCATTCCCAGTGAAATGCTGCTTTGAACCCTAAATCCCATTGAATTTGCAGATACTGAGGAATCTGCAAGATTAGATTTATACGAATTGTCCATACGCTGGTTACATGATATTATGACTGTTGCAATACATACTGTGGGCTACCCCTTGAAGTGTCCAAACATTTCAGTTGGTGCAAAATCCAGCAGGCAGATTGCCAAATTATGCAAGGTGCAAAGTTCATAAACTGCTGGCACTGGTTACCAGTTGCTTCACAAGCAATACTTAAAAGGTTGCTATTCTTAAAGTCTCAAATGGCTTAGGGTCTCATTACAAATTTATTTGGTTAACATTGGGAGACTTCCCACCCCCACCCATGTCATTTTTAAACACATCACACAGATGTAGCTTCCCTTTGGTCATGAAAAATAGCACTTTTTCCTGCATTGTTGGTTCATCACATTCTTTATTATTAATGGTTTTTCTTGCTAATTTTAATTTGCATTGTTTTTTAAACAAAATTTTGTTAGCTACCTGTAATACCCAATAGAGGTGTAAAGAGCAGCATATTCAAATAAATAGCATTTATTATTTCTTTTGGAGAAGTGGACACAGGATAAATCTATTTAAAACTCTTGCAGATCAATTATTGTCCTATTTTGTCTAAAAACTGAAAGCAATCAGTTCAGTTGTCTCTATAGTTGATTTGGTTTAGGTAATTTATCCCAAAAAATTGATTCAATTGTCTGAAACTAAGCTTCTGTAACTTCAGCATGCCATCTGTTAAAATATGAATATTAACCTTTAATAATTTAAGGCCTCTGCATAAAACATGTTTCTTACTGAAGTACTGAAATGAGCATATAGAAAACATGCTCTGCATTTTTACTGTATATCATGACTGAATATAGTGTTCACAGCCTATTAATTGTCGATACATGGGATTTGAATTCAGTATATGATTGACTATACAGTCCAAAACTTGTTCTTGACATGAGTTGTGCTGATTGGATCTATGAACTGTGTATCTCTTGATCCCTATTCAACTGCGACTGCCAACAGACCTTTAACAGATACACCAGTTAAATAGCATGGTACAATTGAGAATTATAAATATACATTTTGGGATCTGTATAGAAGCCTCAGAAAATGTTCTTGGGAAGTCTTAATGCTTCTACTGAACCAATAGTAACCCCCCCCCCAGTTATTATTTTTATTACCAGTACAAAATACCAAGATATATAAAATGTGCTGGCAATAGCAGAAAAAAGCTGCTCAAATAAAGTTTGTTGTCTGAAGTTGACTTAAGAGCTTGCTAAATTATAGTTCATATTTGTTTGACTAGGAACACAGACACTGCTTTTGTTTAAAAAGCATCACTCATTGTTATGCAGGAAGGAAGTTACAGCCAAATTAAAAATATATACATGGTCCTCCAGAGGTAGTTTTTCTGGGCATTCATAGAGTAGCAATGAACTTAAATACAATTCAGAATAAACTTTAGGCTAACTATGATTTCAGAAGTATGAATCAAATACTCTGAACTTCAAAGACAGACTGATAAAAACTGGGACTGTTTTCTTCAAGCTATCATTTATTTTAATCAGTTCACAACTTTATGTCTGAATTAAAAGAATACTCATTTGCATTCAGGTCACCTTAGTTTGTTTCTTTATAATTAGCCATTTTGCCCATGGATAACAAAGCAATTATGTAACAAGTATATATTAGTATATATGACATTTGTTAGGATTGATAAGATGCAGAACTTCAGAGTGCATAAAGTCAAACCATCCACATGTATATGAGCTTCCCCCCAAATTAACACAAACTCAAGGAATAATTCATTAACATAAAATATGCAATTTGTTCACACTAGAGCTCCATTTTCTTTTCAAAGATCTGACTTTAATTCAATGGTGTACTATTTCAATGAAAGCATGTTAATAACTTATGATGTGAACGTTTTTGCTTCACTACAAAAAGCTGTCGACTTTAACAGTGTTTGCTATTAAAGAACATTTTTGCCACTTGATATTGGTGTTGTTAACAGTGACAGAGTGAGGTAGATGATGACCACACATTTCAAGTTATTTATGGGCCACCAATACTTTACAATAGCCAATTCAATGCGTATCTATGAATGAACTCAGCAGAACTTTTTTCTTATAGCATACATAAGACTATAGCCTTAAGTTTTAACACCATGATCATGTATTTGCCACACTGAAGTGATGCATGGCATCAGAGCGTGTGTGTGTATGTGTGTGTGTGTATTACACTCCTAAGTTCATGAACATTTCCATATTTATTGTTACAATATTAACTTTCTATGCCAACTATGCCCAAGAACTCAAGTGAATATACAAAGGACAGCTTCATCTACCCTATCATACAGTATATTTAAACTTGATTCATGTGTAACAATTTTAATAAAATGTCAAAGCTGGAATTTAAAATTGTAAATTTCACATAATCTTGGTTCTTCAGCTTTAATACTCTGCAAAGGCTTTGTTGGCAAATAGACAACTTTCAGGAAAGATATGCAACTCAACAGTGTCAACTGTTTTACTTCCAGTGATCTAAGTATGTAGAAGACTGGTTCTGCATCTGTATAAAACACAGCTACTTAGAAGAATATATCTCACAATTCTTAATAGGAATAAAATATTATTCTAAGCAGTCTAGTCTTCATTAAAGCAATGATTTCATATTCTAAACACTCCTTAATTGCAAAGTCATCTTTTTATAAAGTATATAGCTACCTCATAAGTAATATATTTGTCTAAATCCTGGCTTGAGAGTCCAAAAAACAGCCAGACATTTGGAAAGACATATCAGGAATGGCCACATTAGATTCAGATTGGAAGAATAAAGAAAAAAAAATGAACCCAGGGAGCAAGAATTCTATTTTGGAGCTCGTTTGAATTCTATTCACAGTTAATGTTATACAGCAATAATATAGCACAAACTAGTATTCAAATACTGTTAATATTTGTCCAAATAAATGAGTACATCCCTGGTCAGGAAATTGAGTTTTAACTGAAGGTGCCATTACTCTTTGGGCAGCAGAAGAAGAAAAATGCCATAAATGCAACATCCTATTCGCAAAATATATCCAAATCTTAAACAGAAAATACAGCAATGGACATTTTCCACTACACATATAAGTATCTCCATCTGCAAATA